GTGGTGTAGTGGTGAAGACGGTGACCTGCCAAGTATACAGTCGATGGTTCAAGTCCTGGATAAACCGAAAAAGAACAACAAGGTAATAAAGTGAGAATTTGTGAGTGTGAGAGGAGTAGTGCGAGAGGGCGAATATGCCCTCGCCTTGGGCGAGGAGTAGACTGAGGGGGGTTCTCTTTCCCCCGGCTTTCCTGACTTTCAAAGCAAGCTTTCTTCAAACATTTAATCGTGTTAGGGGGTAATCAGGGATATATGTGGATAGGTAAAAGCAGGGATAGATAGGAGTAAATAGGGGGATAAATAGGGGTAAAGAGGTATAAATGAGTACAAAAAGACTTAAATATTTTATTTGGTGCCCTCTCACCTATCCCCTTTTCCTTGCCCCGGGAGCCGAGGCCGCCCGCCCTTGCCCCGGCAGCCGAGGCCGCCCAATTACTAAGTCTTTTTGTACTCATATACCCCTCATTCACCCTATAAATCCCCGGATTTCCCTAAAGATTAACTTTGATTTGCAAAGATTAATCGAGTACAAAGCTCCTCCGAGTAACATGCCCTACCATACCTTTTTTTTATTTTTATTTCCACTGGCATGAGGAACGTACCATACTGTTCTTGATACCACGATCTTGTACTTGATAGTCCACGACTTTACCACAAGGCTAACTGGTGATTGTTGGAAGCCTACAACAACTTATTCTCCATAACCTTACCATGTAATATTAATAACTAAAATTTCCATCTAAAACGAGATTCGTACCTTCGACAGTCGACACATAAGACCAACATCTTGACCACTAGACTACAAGATCTTTTGCTGAAAGGCTATGGTTATTTAATTTACTTCATCCTTTTCACGAAGTTCATAATGAAAAACGGTTATGGTAGGATTCGAACCACCGACTTACCACTTAGGAGACCATTGTCTTCACCACTAGACTACACGATCTTGTGCTGAACGGCTATGGTTATTTAATTTACTTTATCCTTTTCACGAAGTTCATAATGAAAAACGGTTATGGTAGGATTCGAACCACCGATTTACCACTTAGGAGACCATTGTCTTCACCACTAGACTACACGATCTTGTGCTGAACGGCGACGGTTATTTAATTTACTTTATCCTTTTGATGAAGTTCATAATGAAAAACGGTTGTAATTGGATTCGAACAATCAGTCTCGTCTAAACACATGCCAGAACAAAAGTTCTTCCACAGAATCCTGCCAAAAGAGTAGATAACGATAATCGGTGTGTGCCTGTGGGGTATGAGTTCAAGAGTTGTCGGCTTAGTATATACGACATTGCTCAACGTGGTTATTGTGGGATTATTACTCGTTCACTGCGACTGCGCGGGGTTTATAAATACTTAATTTCACTTTTTCTCGCTTTGCAATGTCGTTTAAGTACGTTTAATAAACGTAAAGTGTCCGTTTTCACTCACTGCATTTACTGCAACCTAAAACCGGTCAATTTTTCAACAAATGAAGTGAATTAAGGACATTTAAAATTTTCTTGACATCATGCAATAGTCCACACAGTGCACGAATGACCACGTGCATACATCATATGCGTAGAGAATTAAAGACAGTACACTTACATGCACGACGCATGTTTGTAAGTTGCAATTAGCATAATAAAAAAAGGCCCAAATAACGTTTCGAACCATGGTCATCTAGATTGCGAGAACGTTGTCTTCACCACTAGACCACCAGCGCTTGACGTTCAAGGCTGCGTTTATCTCAATGCTTTTTTGGGGTGAATAATGAAAATTATTCTTCCGAGGATTCGAAATACCGACTTGAATGTTGCGAGACCATTGCCTTCAACACTAGACCAAAAGAGACCTTATGATTCACAGGTTCGTTTTTTTTATCTTACCTAAATCTATTCTTTCGGGTGGTAATGAAATTATTTTACTCCATGTAAGATTCGAACTACGAACTTGACAGTTTGCGAGGCCATTGTCGTTACAGCGTAACTATTCCCTCTTAATAATGAATGGTGTTTTTTATTGAAAATTCGCCCCGGTTTTGTTTTGTTGTTTTTTTATTTTTTTTTTATTTTTCGTCGTCGCAAGTCTGAAATGGCGCGAAACATTTAAAATGTGTTTGTGACCGTATTTATCTACGTCCCAGTCTTATCTCCCAAGAGTTGTGGTGCACACTGCACAGTTTTGGCTAATTTTCCGATGCGCGATTCGATTTCGCTCGCATGATACGGCAATTCCTCCAAGAGGAACAAATAAACCGTTGTCTTCATGCTGTTCGATTAAGTTTAGATTGAATTCGGGAAAGAATATATTTAATACATGTAGATTCTGGTCCTATTTTAATAATATAGCTGCTATTTCGCCGTCTAACAAGATGATGTGGTCGTGTATGGGCGCGTTGACACGTCGTAGTTTGCACAGGATTGAAGATTTAATATAACTATATAATCGCGAATTCCAAAGGCAAAGTGTAAGACAAAGGGAATGTATCTTGCGCTTTATTTACATTTTTGAACAATTTAACTTCTATACTTTTTAAAGTACGATGTGCTTCTGAATTTCGCGATCGAACATTTAGGTTCGCAAGGCATCTAAAATGCGAATATGAACTGTATTGTTCAATGTTCAGAAGCTCTATATTAAAGACTGGCACGTGCGCCGGAGTTAACGCCAGAACAGGCGTGTTGTTTTACTTAATCCTTTCTTCGACTTAAGACTTTTTAAATTTTCTAAGTCTTTCACCACCGGCTATCAGTGCTGGTAGTGAGACTTAGAAATTTTTAGACTTAGAATTTTTTCACCTTATCCTTACAAGTCTTTGAAATTAAATAAGAATTTGCGACTTAATTTTTGACACTGCAAGGGCTTGAACCACTACCGTTTATGGACTAACCACTGTCCTAACCCACTCGGCCACCGCTGCTTGTGGTGAAAGACGCAAGTTTTTTATTTCATTTAATCCTTTCCTTGGAGATTTTAAATTAAACAAGAATTCGTCACTCATGTTTTGACACTGCAAGGGCTTGAACCACCACCGCTTCAGGACAAACTACTGTCCTAACCAACTCGGCCACCGCTGCTTGTAGTGAAAGACGAAAGTTTCTTAGTTCATTTAATCCCTTTTTTTGGAGACTTTGAAATTAAATAAGAATTTGCAACTCATGTTTTGACACTGCAAGGGCTTGAACCACCACCGCTTATGGACTAACCACTCCCCTAACCAACTCAGCCACTTCTGCTTGTGGTGAAAGACACGAGTTTTTCAAGTGGTAAGCCTTACCATTTTGGTCAATTTTGACGATTTTTCAATGTTCCAAAAACCAACCAAATATGCTCTAAAATGAAAGATATTAGTCTTCGGATGCCATTTTTAGCATTTTAAGACAGTTTTGTAACTGTTGAAAAACTGTGAGCCGATATTTTAAAGCGTGCATGCTTATATATAGATATTTATTGTATTTATATAGTATCTCTTCAAAGTAACATATTTGCGGGATGCATGTATGTATGCTGTAATACTCCCTGCTTTTTAAACATCGTTTACTCAAACTCTGCTTTTGTATTATATGCAAGCTTCATGAAAATAAATTTGGTGTACAGTACTATAGTAAAATTGATGCCACAGAATAGTCGTAATGACCCCAAATAAGAGAAAATCGATGTCAAAAAGAGGTCGAAATGACTCCAAATAAGAGCAAAAACGATGCTAAAGAAGAGTTTAAAAGACCCTCAATAAGAGTAAATTGATGCCAATTAAGGAAGAGTTGAAATGACTCTAAATAAGAGAAAAATCGATGTCGAAAAGGAGTCAAAATGACTCCAAATGAGAGTAAAATCGATGCTAAAAAAAGGTCAAAAGACTGCAAATAAGAGTAAAATTGATGCTAAAGAAGAGTCGAATGACTCCAAATAAGAGTAAAATCGATGACAAAAAAGAGTCAAAATGACTCCAAATAAGAGTAAAATTGATGCCAAAGGAGAGTCAAAAATCAAAATGACTTTTTTAAAACGACACTTTTGAGGAGTTAATTTGCATTCTAACTCTTGCAAGAGTCATTTTGAAACGACTCCATGGGTAGTCAAAAATGACTCTAGTTAAACGGTTAAAATTACTCTTTCAGGTGTCAACCCAAAATGAGTCGAAATGGCTTTCTTCAAGGGGTAGTCCTGGGGTCAGGAAAACGACTGCTTTGAAGGAGTCAAAATGACTCTTTTGAATTAAAAGTGTGTGTATTATTCTGGATTTCATTCAATTTTAGTCGTTGCTTTTCCCAACCACGACTAGTGGAGATTTAAAAGGCGAAAAGTTTTTCATTTTATTTCTGCCGCTATGCGCAGTAGAATTAAATGAGTGGTATATCCCACTCTAGAGACATGATAAACACAGACAATTTCACATCTATCATTTGTCACTATATAGCATAGCGACAGGTGACGACTGAAATAATTAATGGAGCTTTCCAACGTTTGCTTGTCAATTATTCATATTATACTTATATAGACTTTGAGAGAAGCTAAATTAAAAAATAATTACTGATGTTGCTTAAATTAACAATTTAGCCGGGCAATGTCAACAAGCTAATAAAGTAAATAACCTGCAAATAAATACTAAGACCAGACAATAAATTGACGAAATGCTGTTGAACGCCTTCTCTTGATTTTGCCTGATGAAGATTTCTCCGCATGGTCCAAATTGTCCTGTAAAACGTGTTATTTAACTTTTTACGTGCACAATCAAAAATGAATTTCGGAAATAAATAACCTAATGTGCTAAGACCCATTTTCATAAAGTTCAGTTATTGAATTAAGCAAATAAGTCTATGCAAGTAGCAGCTCTTCGCAAGAATGATTTTCATTGGCTGAACTTTACAATACATTTCTGTTTCAACCAATAGCATAGCTTCGTTCTTTAGAAGGCATAGAAAAGCATTATCCAATTGGACGAAAGCTTCCGAGAGCTGCGACATGTCCCTATGCAGGTGGCAGTTTTTCAGTATCCGCGTGCATCGTGCATCAGACACACACACAACCCCGACACCAGACGATCCTTGGAAAAAAAATTTAGATACAAAAAAGTGATGGGTAAGCCTTTATTTTCAATAAAAATTGTCCGTTTGCCTTCCATATTTTTGAGATTCAATCTTCTGTTGGTAATATTTTTGAATCTTCAAAATTTTGTTGATGGAATCGACTTTTGTTTTGACGGGTCAAAAGAAGGTTAGGTTTGGGACGTTTTCGATGCTCTTCATTCAATGAGAATATTCATTCAATGAGAATGCACATACGTTTGTTCATTGAAAGCCCAGGTACACAATAGCTAACTCTAAAATTTTTTATCAAGGTTATCGTTTATCAGTCGATCCTATGGAGATTATTCACGCCAAGTCGGGAGCGGAATGCGCCATGAAATGTGCAGCAAAAAATGGATGTAGATCTGTTAATTTCAAAAAACCGAGAAGCTGTGAAGAGATGGAAAATTGCGAGTTACTCACAAAGGTTGATTCAGAAACACCTCCCAGGCGTGTAACTGCAAATAAAGAGTATGATTATTATAGATTACTCGATTGTAACGGGGTAAGTTTGCACCAAATTCGATAATACTTTCACTTATACCAAAGGTGTACAGAGACTCTGTGCTTCTATTGAAATAAAAACTAAATTTTGTGCAAAACTTTTACGTAACCGTTATGCCTTAAATTAAAATGAGTGATAAACATTGGGTGCATAAGAATACTCATGCCATGAGTCTCATGGTCCCTAGCAACATCATTCTGTATGGCTCATAGAAAGTTATAATATGCAAACTATCCAACAGAAGTAATTTAAAAGGAAATTATTTCAAAATTAATGTGAACAATCTATGTTGATAAGAAATTACCAGATATGATCTTCCAGTGCACAATATTTGACTTATTTAAAATGTGCAACTAGTTCTCACTCTACAAGCTCTTTTGATTGTAGTAATAAATGTGGTGCAGTAGACATTCTCTGCTTATAAAATCAGTATGCAAGTTGTCGTATTTTAAACTGCGTGAAAGTGACATGACGAATAAAAATACGCCTTGTCAGGGCATGTATAGACGATGTACAAACAAATGAAATCAACATATCCATATTTCCATATGCGCAGGTGTTTTAATAAAAGTAAACCCTTGAAAAGCGACCGCATTTATTGCGAAACTTTCAGCACTGGATGAATAACTTATGAATCATTTGGTCCGTAATTGAGCCGATTTGATATCTATATATGCGCTGCAGTAGTTTTCTATTTAATTGTAACATTTCTATAGCCGCATAATAGTGTCCGTTTCAGGGTGGCGGAATGCATATAGGAACAGAACTAACAAAATATAACAGCTCTCCATAGAAATTAATATGAACAGGCCTTAGCTAGTGCTGACAAGTTTGGAACTTAGTAGTATGATTTGTATAGGATGCATATAGTGTTACCACTTTTCGGCGTATTTTGGGTCTTTTTCCAAGTATTTTGTCAATTACTTTGGCTATCCGATATCATCAACAGTGTGAACGTAGCACATAAAATTATTACCTATAGACTTGTCCTAGACCTGGTCCAAGTCAGGTCTATAGGCCTGAAGTGTAAACGTGGCTTTAGATGCCTATATAGGTCACGAAAAGTGATATTTACAATAGACATATCTTTTTTAGAATGAATTAGATCCAACTACATCAAGCTCTGCGACACAACAACAATCAACAAGTAAGTAACACTAAGTATTAAAAAAGACATTATACTACCAAAAATTATACAACATATCATTATATGTGGTTAAGGGAATACGTATCTATTGCATACTTCATATAACTGTATCATATTATTATAGCTTTATCAAAAATGACAGAAGCAAAGAGCTCAATACCTCAACCAACAAGTAAGTTAACTTTTTCAAGTTATTCTATTACCTACAATAATTTAGTTTGTGGACTTCAAATGCATGACATCCTTAATTTTTTCTAAAGCTTAAAAAACAATTAAACTTTTAGTGACGTCTTTTACATGTTCTAATGCTGACTGGTGGCAAAGTTTTGACAGTAAGGGCTTGTCAAAATGTGGCGCAGAAAATCTTTTTATCGCGGGATTTTATCGAAGCCCCCCATATCTTTTCCATGATCCCATATTGTTGCTTGAGGAAGCAAAATGCTGTAAAGCGATTACTGCGTACAGCGGCCAGAGTAGCCAGTGTGAAACAGCTAACTGGTTGTCTTCTCTTGGCGAGTAAGTATATTAGTATTTTATAACATATTGCTACTATTTACCCATATATATGGGTTAGAGATGTTGCCTAAAAGCATGGCATGGTTCGGCCTGCCAACCTCATTTCCACGGGGCCTATGAAAAAGGGAATGCGCAAAGAACAGTTTTAATTTTTGAGTGGTAAATATTTACTCAAACAGTGAACATTTGTTTAGTTTTCGGAGCAAAACTTATCATGTATTGTAGCGTGGTATAACTTTACAAATTACGATCTTCGTAGCCTGAAGTACGGATTAAATCAATCTTGTAAGTCATCGTTTATCAATTGTATACCATTGCTATTTATTGGTCAACGTGGCTCTTTTCACTAATGAGCATGTAAAGCTTATAAATATTATTATATTAAAACACTTGTAATACGATATGCACGTTCCAGATATTGTGGAGTAAATATTTTTTAAATGCATCCTACAGGAATGACAAATGGAGCAAGTGCCCAGTGGGGTACTTTCTGAACGGGTTACATCGGGAAGGTGGCAAAAAATTATCTGACATCAATAAAGGTTATTGCTGCAAACCTGCAAATCATCCTAACAAATATGGATCGTGTTATACAGGGTGTCCCAAAAAAAAAGCAACCACTTAAATATGCAGAACATTAATAGAGCTCTAGAGCGCAATAGGCAAGCACCTCTGGGAATTGAAAATGACTCTTAATCCTTCATTTACAATGCTAAAAGTCATTTTAGCTGAACTATGGTACAAAGCCGAACAATATTAATATTCTTGCATATTTAAGTGGTTGCGTTTTTTTTGGGACACCCTGTAATGAAAACGTTGGATCATCGTTTGATCAAAAAGGATGGTCAAACTGTTCCAAGGCTGGTTATTACATCACTGGTCTTTATCGTGGATCTGGTCAATGGCTGAACAACATCGATAAATTTCGATGCTGTCAAAACGCTTAAAGACATCTATTGTATCGATATAATAAAAGATTTAAAATCACAAATGTTTCTAAAATTAAGTAGAATATATATAAACCTACTTAATTTGCGTAGCACTTAAATTAGTGTGGATTACCGTGGAGGATGGCTGTGGAAACGATTTTTGACATTTTTGTATGTTCATATTGTTCGGGGGGAGAATCTGTGCTCGGCGCTTAAATTTGTAATTAACTTATAGTGAGGAATATTAGTTATGAATGACGTCACTCAGTTTAGTTGGGGATTACTATATATGTTACATTTTTTTAATCAAATTACTCAAAACAGTAGCTTTAAATCTTGGACACGTCATTAGCTGAATACCCTATACGGTGCATGACTCGTCGGAGCTAGCTATAGGTTTGACTTGTTGAAGGAAATGCATTTGTAGCCAGTTGTCATTTTATTGTTATTTCTTTCATATACCTAAAGAGTGTGCAAATATTAAATTAAGTATAGTGTGATGAAGTTTCGTATAATATACCTATTAAATTGTATAATAATTTCACAACCCAGTTTTCGGCTGCGATGTACGTGTTTCTATAATCATGTGGTCGGCGTCTAAATTTGTAATTAACTTAGTACAAAATAACCATGCTTTGGTTACAATGTCAAATATTTTGATATGGATAACCACGCTGTTTTAATAGTCAAATGCTTGCCCTATGTAAAGTTGCAAGCATGTTTGGCGCTCATATACAAACATTAAACAATATAACTATGCTTTGGTTATGATATCAGATATTTTTATGATGATAAACACGTTGTTTTAATGGTCAAATGCTTGCTCTATGTAAAGTTGCAAGCATGCTTCGTGCTCATAAAAATATACAAACATTAATTAAACAATATAACCATGCTTTGGTTATCGGATGTCAAATATTTTGATATGGATAACCACGTTGTTTTAATGATCAAATGCTTGTCCTATGTTAAGTTTCCAAGACGTTTGGCGCTCATATACAAACATTAAACAATACAAACAACCAAAGGCTCCTTTTGCAAGTTCGACTATGACGCTGTAGTTCTTGACTTCTCGCATGTCTTAAGCGGAAGGATGAAATTATGAGAGAAACCACACTGTTTCAATGGTCAAATGCTTGTCCTATAATGTAAAGTTGCAAGCATGTTTGGCGCTCATATACAAACATTAAACAATATAACCATACTTTGGTTATGATGTCATATATTTTGATAAGGATAGCCATTAACCACGCAGGTTAAATGGTCTAATTCTGGTCCTATGTAAAGTTTCAAGCATGTTTGGTGCTCATTTACAACATCTATATAAAGTTGCAACTTGCAAGCATCGAATATGGCCGGAAAACGGTACACTCGACCATGGTCGAATATTGTTTGAAAACGGTATACTTGACCGTGGTCGAATATGGCCGGAAAATAATGTAGTTTCATATAAGTGATACCTATTTAGGTGGCTCCCTACAGTTTTAAGAATATTGAAAACTAATGATTTAGATTGAAATTTTTGGCAGAAAATTTCTTGCTAAACGAGGTGAAATTTTCCAGATATATTAAATAACATTCTAACAGTCAGAAATTACCCATAAGCATGACGTCATTACCGTTGTTATGGTAACAATGGCGATTCAAAGTTTTCCTACAAAAAAATGGGAAATTTGAGCAAATTTCTATAACGAAAAATCCCGTTTTTTAATTTTTAGTAATTTTGGCTCTATAGAATTTTTTTTGACTGGTTCAAATTTTCCATTTTTTTGTAAGAAAACTTTTTATAAAATAATAAATTGGGGTAACCGAACTTGTTTTCGAGTAAAATGCGTGAATAGGTAAAATGTCGGCCATTTTGAATCGCCATTGTTACCATAACAACGGTAATGACGTCATGCTTATGAGCAATTTCTGACTGTTAGAATGTTGGTTAATATATCTGGGAAATTTCTTTTCCCTTAGCAAGAAATCTCGTGCTAAAATTTTAAATCAAAACCACAAGTTTTCAATATTTTAAAAAAATGTAGGGAACCACCTTAAATTGAACAATAATACACAAACCAATTCGACTGCGATGTACGTAATGAACGATTTTCGCCTTAGACGAATTTTTTACCTCGGCTTTAAAAAGGACATTTTCTGAAAGAGCATACTAAAATTAGTAAAAATGCCAAGTTTGGCTGGAAATTGTTGTAAATTACGGAAAATATATAGCCATGCGAAGTTGACGAATTTTGTATAGTTTTGTATTACGGCCAGAAGTTTGTAACTAATTTAGTCCACATTTCCGCACTAATACAAAAGTAAACAAAATTTGCGAACTTCGCATGGCCATATTTTCCGTGTTTTACAAGATTTTGCAGCCAAACTTTGCATTTGCGCTAATTTAAGTACGTTCTTTTTAGCTGTGATGATTTATTTTCTTCTTATTACTTAATTCGATCAAAAGTTAGTCTAAAAGTAAAACGCAAGTGGTCCATTCAATAAACACTTAATATCTAACGCTGCATATCTCATGCATTCTACGACTATTTCTTAGCAGCGTAAATGTAAACACTGTGCGTAAATGCGTAAATCAAAAATTTATATAATGCTAGAAATACAAGAATGCAATCACTTTTGAAAATTTGCGCTGTATTGGAAACCGTTAGAGGATTGATGAAATATAATGAAATAAACATACTACTAAAATGACTGATTTCTATGGAAACAATTTAGAGACATCATAAGGGATTCTTTGAATAAATTGCTGACACGCATGAGAGAAAACTTTAACTCAGTACGCATTCATCTCTTGTACAGGTGGCAATTGCTCTTCATGCAGGGACAATTTAATGTAAAACGCAAATAATTAGTGTTCCTTTTGCTAAGGAAGCGAACGCAATGTAATTGTCTATGACAATATGGCGTCTGAACAGACAAGAGCAGAACCTTCATTTCCAACATCAGGTTATTTGCGCTTTGTACTTGTGAGATCCAGTCTTCTCACTCTTCTGTTGTTGATATTATTGAATCTTCAAAATTTTGTCAATGGACTTGACTTCTGCTTTGACGGTTCAAAGGAAGGTAACGTTTGGGGTGTTTTTAAGCTATCCAATCTACTCAAAACACGTGTTTTGTCAACTTTTATGAATTTACAAAACTTAATTTGTTCAACAGAACTCTTACAAAGTTTTTGATACTTTTCAGGGTTTCGTTTGAACGTCGATCCAATGGAAGTTATTCACGCCACGTCGGGAGCAGAATGCGCCATGAAATGTTCACGAGAAAATGGATGTAGATCTGTCAACTTCAAAAAGCTGAGAAGTTGTGAAGAAATAGAAAACTGTGAGTTACTCCCAGAGCTTGATTCTGAAACACCTCCTGAACAGCTGACTGAAGATGAGAAATATGATTATTATAAACTACTGGATTGTAACGGGGTAAGAAAATAGTGTCATTCAATGTTATCCTTTTCGATCACGTAAAAATTTAAAAATAAACTTGGAATCCAATAGTATAGCCACTACCGATATAAAAAACGTTTAGACGAGGTGTATATTATTCTGCATTGCTCTCAAAGAGTGATGCAAAATATCCACCTGCACCAAAAATTTCAAAGGGAAATCGATTTAGTGAGGATGAATTTTGTCTCATATCAAATTTTCAATTGAATTTTCATCAACTGATGAAATTTTTTTCTCGAACAAAACCTTTTCTCCATTTTCCATCAAGAGATGTTCCCTAAAATTATCGTGCTATCATAAATATTTTTTCTCGACTTTAACAAGCAGCAGGTCTATGCAGTATTGTAAATTTCATGACATTCCGTTTAAGTCATTTATTATACATGAAAATAGTCTCCTGCCATATAACGACATTGAAAGTGTAAAGTGGTCGTATGTGCCTACAAAGGAAACACCTGAATCAACATATTTTGACTGTAAAGGCCTGCTGCAAATTAAGCAAGATATATAAGCCTACATTTTCGGATTTTCTAGAAGCCATTAGATCCTACTTCATCAAGCCCTCCGACACAACAACAATCAACATGTAAGTGTTCCAAAGTCGACACTATAATGTAATGTACCTTTCCGTCTATGAGTTCGGTATATATATTAATATATATATATATATATATATATATATATATATATATATATATATATATATATTATATATATATATTGTTTATATATATATATTCATATATATATATATATATATATATATATATATATATATATATATATATATATATATATATATATATATATATATATATATATATATATATATATATATATATATATGCAACATGTGTAAACAATGTGCCCTCAATAGATACATACTCGAAATCTAATTAGAATTGCACATGTTGTGTAATATGATTGAAATCCCATGCAAATCTAGTCATATGCATTTCTAATGGACCACTTGCATAATAGACCAACTTCAGATCTAGGTGACAAGCAGGAAATATATCACAACAGCTAAAAAGAACATACCAAAATTAGTAAAATTGCCAAGTTTGGTTGCAAAATGTAAAGTAGTACGGAAGATATAGCCATGCGAAGTTGCCAATTTTGTATACTTTTTTATTACGGCTGGAAGCGTGTAACTAATTTAGTTACATGCGTCCGGCCGTAATACAAAAGTATACAAAATTCGCCAACTTCGCATGGCTATATCTGGGGCACTTTACAATATTTCACAGCAAAACTTGGCAATTTTACTAAGTTTTGTATGCTCTTTTAGGAAATTCCCTTTTTGTCACCTGAATCAAAAGTTGGTCTATTATGCAAGTGGTCCATTAGACTTCGAGTATCTATCTATCTATCTATCTGCGGCCAACGTTTTTGCAAATGGGTGTATATATATATATATATATATTTATATATATATATATATATATATATATACATATATATATATATATATATATATATATATATATATATATATATATATATATATATAAATATATATACAGACACACTTAATAATTTTAACAATTTTCACTTCAACTTATAGCGACGTCTTTAACATGTTTTAATGCGAACTGGTGGGGTAGTTTTGACAGAGAGGGCAGGTCAAAATGCGGTGCTGAAGACCTTTATATCACGGGATTTTATCGAAATGTACCTAGAAATAAGAGCGATCCCATTCTTTTACTCGAAGAAGCAAGATGTTGCGACTCTGCTTCTGCGTACAGCGGTCAAAACAGCGATTGTAAAGAAGCTGATTGGGGTACTTCTTTTGACCAGTGAGTATTTGTCTCTTGCACATTTCATGATAATATAATTTTTGTGAAGTGTTCTGGAGAGTGCAGGCAGTAAAGAATAAGATAATAAATTTGCCAGGCTAAAATGATAAATTTGCCAGGCTGAAATATATTTTAGCGCGCTGAGTAAAACTAATCAGAAGAATGACTAAAGTGTTTAAACGTTGCATAATTTTTATACAAAAAATCCCCTTTCAAGGTAATATAACAGTAATACAGTTGATGTTCTTGGGCTTTTAGTGTTTTTGGCCCTTTTCAGAACAAATTGTAACACTCGCTACGGTCGGGCTAAAATGAGTTTAGAGTTGAGCCAAAAACACATTATTTTATACCTACGAAAATCAACCCTATTATCATATTTTAATGGTTTTCCAGCGCACTGCGTGTGTCGAAATGAATAACGGTCCTATATATGCTTTTTCGTATGTACGAAATGGACTTAAAATAATAGGATAAAAGTCAGAGACACTTTCCCTATAGCAGAGACTTCCTGCAAACAACCAAATTTTAACGAAAAAACCTGGGAACGACGATGTACACACGAAGTGCGCGGAAAACCTGGGAACGAAGGTGTACCAATTTCATCCACCTCGGCCTTTCTATATTGGTATAGCCTCAAGCACAAATCAAATCAAATCAATCCTGTAAGTCATCATTAAATTTTATCAATTGTATACCATTGGTATACATTGGTGCATCTGGGGTTTTCTCAATCAGCGCGTGTAAAGCTGCTAAATATCATTATGTTAAATCTTTTTTAGAGTATATATTTCTTTATATGTATATTACAGCAATGACCAATGGAATTCATGTCCTGTGGGGTACTTTTTGAACGGGTTAAATCGCACCAATCACAACAGATTATCGGACATCAATAATGGTTATTGCTGCAAACCAAGCAATCATCCTGACAAGTATGGATCGTGTTATGATGAAGATGTTGGAACATCGTTTGATCAAAAAGGATGGTCAAGCTGTTCCGAGGCTGGTTATTACATCACTGGTCTTTATCGTGGATCTGGTCACTGGCTGAACAACATCGATAAATTTCGATGCTGTCAAAATGCTTAATAATATCGATGTATAACATCGATACAACAATAGGACATACTACAACGATTTAGATTCAAAAATTTTGCTAAAAATCAGGTGGACTTATCGGAAACTCAGAAATGTTTTCGTTCTCGTGACGGTCAAGCGTGCACGCCAGTCTACTCAGTCTATTATTACAACAAGGTTGCAAGTTTTTTCACTAAGATTTTTTACTAAGATATTCAACATTTGCTACCACCTGAATATCTTGCAAATGAAATAATGCATAGGTTTGAACGCCGGTAATTTGACTACATTCTCGCAAAGTTTTAGCTGGAAACGTCAATTTTAAATATGCTAAAAAAGCAAATGTTTTTCGATATTTGAAAAAAATTTTCCCGAACGCGTTCCCAAGGCGTTCCAGTGCTTTCACTTAGACGCTTCGTGTACCTTCGGAAATTCCGAATAAATTATCGAACAGCTAGTCAATATGCTTAAGCTACGGCTCGTTAATTCTCGGCTTTTAGCAGGCGGGACAAGCGCTTTTTTTATTTCGCGTAAAGATAAGCATATAGTTAAAGTAAATCGGGAATATCCGGGTATTGACGACAAGTTCCGGAGTCGATAGCCGATGAATATCGAATGGGTGCTGGAACGCGTTCCGGACGCGTTCGAGGATGCGTTCAGAACGCGTTCTGGAACGCGATTTTTATTAGGTTATTTCTGAGCAGTGCTGTATGCTGGTGACACCCGATGTACCTTGTTGTCATATTTTTGAATTGCAAATAGAAAACTCATTGGCTCTTTTTCAAACTGAAAAAATGACAACCAATCATCTTTCTATTTGCAATTTAAAAAGATGACGACAAGGTAAGTTTTGACAAAATTTTGTCAAAATATCGAAAAATATTTGCTTTTTGAGAATCCTTAAAATTAACATTTCAAGTTAAAACTTTGGGAAATTGTTGTCAAATTACCGGCGTTTAAACCATGTTATTTTTTATTGTTTCTATTTGTAATTTGCAAGATATTCAAGCGGTAACAAACCGCGTTGTAGTAATTTTAGTAAAAAAACTTATCATAATAGGGAGAATTAACATAAGGACACAAATTTGGGCACATTACGCCATTTATTCGCCATGTTCACGTCATCTTTGACGTTCACGTCCTCATGCTAAATCACCCTAATATTAGACCGAGTAGACTCGCAAACACGCGCGACCATCACGAGAACGAAAACATTTCTTGGGCTGCCTATACTATGTAGACTATATAATCTTATTTATTTAGTGTAGCACCTAAATATTATCTGGATTACAGTGGAAAAAGTTTATGAAAACGATTTTAACAAATTTAAATGTTTTCAAGTTTAGCTAAACAATCTGTGGTCGGTGCTTAATCTTGTGTAGTCAACTTAGTGAAGAATATTAGCTATGAATGACGTCACTCAGTTTAGTGGGGTTTGCTATGTTAAATTTATTGAATAATCTCAAAAAGTACGCGTAAAAGCTTTAAAAATTTAGCACGAAATTGGCTGAACACCCTCATTGTGGTGACTCGTCGCAGGTTTCACTGCATGGTTGAAGAAAAAGCATTTTGTAGCTGGTTGACATTTTATTGTTGTTTTTTTCATATACCTATAAGACCGTAAACTTATATTAAGTATAGCATGTACTGTAGTCTTATGTGAAATATACCTAGTATGAAATTGTATAATAATGCACAATACAGTTTTCGGCTGCGTTGTATGTCAACAACGTATGTACACTATGCGACTATTTAATGTCATATAATATCGTCGAAAAGGGCGCTTTAACCGTTTAAGGTCACTGCGGTCGGATGCTGATAATTGAAAAGAATACGAGACGAAAAATTTCGTTCGGTCGAAAAATTCCGCCGAGTGGAAAACCACCATTATATATAGGCTGGAGAGGAACACATAACCCATCATAAAAGCTATCTCAATCCAGCTTTTTTTCGTAAGTTTATAAAATACTAGAAATACATGCAGGCATGCCACAACCCTAAAAATTCGCCATGAACCTTCAAAACATCAAACACAAACTATTTCTCGAGTTATATTATAAAATAAATACAAAACAATTTTCCTGTTTTTCTACGCAGTTATACAATAACACTTTCGGAGTAAAATCATTGAAGTAAAACACAGGAAGAATATAATCTGATTTAAATCATGTACTAAAATCTAAGAATAGCGGTCAAATCTTAAATGCGACATGGCAGCACACGCATTTTCAATAACTGTTGCTCATGTTGAAGCTACAAATCGCGGGCCCCTTCTTTTGTTTTCCGGGTAAATCATGTGTATATAGGCAGTCCGCCTCTGATAATTACATACTTGTTAACTCGTACAATTAAATAGTTCAACAGAAACAAAAGCACTGCGAGGGCTGCTTAAAAGTTAAATGCAGCGAAGGGAAAAAATAAACAAATTACGTATTATAAACTAGGAATTATGTCACATGCAAACCAACCTTTATACGAAGTTTTTTTTGTTATAACTCAATCTAATGCTGCATGTTGAATACTTATTTTATAAAATGCTGCAGTTGCAGTATTACTTATACATGCAAGCGGGGATTAACTAAAGTTTCCAAACAAAGTCAACTCGGCCTCATCCAGAAAGAGATATATGGGCTCTATATGTATATTAAGCCCGAAAGAGTAATCACGAGCGTCGGTGCCTTTTAAAGTAATTTATAAGTAATCAATATTCTAGCGCAAACAGGAAAATAAATGTAAAATTAAATGCTTCCAGCTTAAAAAGTGATTGTCATCAATCACGTACGGAGCGAAATTAAATAGGCCCCCTATTCATGGAAAAACACTTCGTAAATTATTAAAGTCATGCATGCAAATGTTCAGGTAGTATATATAAAAATGACAATTTATAGTTTGTGAGTTAAAACCATCTGCGTTGCAATGAAGGTCTTTCAAAAATTTGCTGTTTCGTTCATCGTTTTCGTGCTAGCGCTGAGCGACTGCTCAAAGGAAGCTGTCTTTCGAATAAATAAGCAAAAATACTTGGCGAATCATACCATCGAAATAAATCAAACAGAGTTCGAGTTTGAATGCGGTTTGCTTTGCGCTCGTCATGAATCATGTGCGTCAATCAACTACAAAACCTCTGGTGAAGATAAAGGTCGTTGTGAACTTAACAATAAGACAAATGAAGACGATGATGATGAAAAAACAGATCATGAATACAACCATCTTGTCATGATTAAATCAGTGAGTAAAGACGTTACATGATTACTTGCATGGAATTTAAAAAGTTATTACAAGCTATTTTTACTTTTTCAATCGAGTGTGAAGTTTCAACGCCCTCTTATAAAAACATAGAGCTTTAAATTTTCACTTCAGCTCCCGTTACGTCGAAATAGATTCGTAGCTGTTGCTCATCCAAGAAAACGGAATTTTGATTTTATATATCTATATACAGGGTTCTCACTCTCCATGATTTAAACATCAACTCTCGGAATTACCATTTTTCTATTTTATGAAAAAAGTTCGAAAGAACTATTTTTATGCTCATGGCGCTTCTATTTTGTGCATTCTGAAAAAATGGTATTACTGATTATATAAGGGTATTTTTTTCTGAAATACTTGATTGTGTATATACATGCATATTATGTTTAGCTATATATACATGAGAGATTTAACATGAGGGCGTGAACGTCAAAAAGGATGTGAAAATGTTATTCGCCATTTTCCGACAAATAGATTCCCGTTCTCATGCTAAGTCTGCCTAATACATAATTATAGTGGGCGCCGTGTTTGAGATAAACACGGCGCCTGTAAACACTACAGACGGATGCCCACGCGAGATTGAGTATGCATGCAACGTGCGTTTCCGAAAACAGCTGCTGTATTGAGATCAGAAGCAGCTTTCTAGGAAGCAGCGACCGCTTTTGTACGTTCTCACAAACCGCGTGTCGAGATGGGTGTACTTTGTTGAACTGCATAACGAAACAATAGAATGACAACATCTTACTAACTTCCAACAGCGTTATATAGCAATATTTCAGAAGCATGTGTTTTTAATATAGCATTCGGAGTTCTTTCGTTCTTTGTGTCAAAGTACGTGATATTATATTACTACGAAATTTTTACTTTTCAGTAACTACGTCTCGCATGTCGTTTTCAAATGCACTTTAAATTTAAATCATGCTGCAGTAATTTATCATGACTAACGCTGCATGGAGTGCCACTGATCCCTGACAAAGAAAAGTAATCAACATATATAATTACAGTACGTGTGTAGTCTTATAATAATAATTATTATGGCGCCAGAGTGAAATTCAAGAGTATAGACATATTGTCTTTCGATATAGAGACTGTAAAAGACGCCTTTTCGATCGCCAAACGTGTTTTTAAGATCCATTCATCTGCACGAATGTTGGTGCATGGTTATTCAGTTCAGTCTTCAAAGTTTAAACTGATCTTTGACGGATCAGTTCTATTATATTTTCATTTACACGGTCGTCGATATTTCAAACTTAAAATTAAAATTTAATATCAAAACTCGCGGCAATTTTGATAACAGTAAATCCGCTGCTCTAATATCTTTATTTAACTGCAAAATATATTGCAAAGCTCGACTGCTGAGTCGATCCTTTAGGGGTTATGTCGGCCGCATCAGCGATTTTTATAAGCGGGGTTCATATCTATAGATATATATATATATACGCTGCGAATTTTTCCTTTTAAAAGTAAGAAGTTGACCGAAGCGGATCCACAGTAAACAAAATTTAGTAACTACGGAGGTAAAAAAAGGAAAAATTCTATCTTTTGAAAAACTGTCTTTGAAATAACACTAAAGTTTAAAGGTAAAAATTTGAATCAACTCATTTCTTTGAACTAAAGAGCTGCCGCTATAATACTAACTTTGTTTTTGTAAACGTAAAAATTTACCATTATACCAAATTTACCAGTAATAATTTACCATTGATAAGCCGTATAGCTAATATTCCGGTGTTCATTGTTACTCTACAACCACCATTTATGGCATACATGGCCAACATGCATGAATGGCATACTCTAATGCCTAAACAATTTGATGATACAAAATGGTCTTACGTTTCTCGGAAGGCTTCTCATTATAACTAATAATAGTTGAATTCGTGGGAAGTGCCTCTATAAAACACCGCCAGAATTAACTGATATTGATTTTAGGGCCTCATGCAAAGTGAGATATATTATGTGCGCTATAACTATATCACGAATGCCTAATGACATTTTATATAACGTCGATTTTCGTATCCTTTGCATTTGTTTTTCAGAAGCCACTAGATCCTACCACGTCAAGCTCTCCGACACAAGAGGAATCATTCAGAAGTAAGTGTTATATTACGAAATCCTCGCTATAATATCATAACAAAATATAACAACGTGGTAATGCAATAACAAATTTTTAAATCACTTGCATCCGCAATACTAGCAGAGCGTCACCACACTATTACTTATATAATTTAGTTCACGGTATATTGATGTGTGTTATAAAAACTGCTAGATTTCGCATCAATTTTGCATTTTATATCTCCTTAATTATTGAAGGCCCTCATGTCTCCTTCACAGAACTTTCATACAGATTTCCAACCAAATGAAATCAAACCTTACAAAGTTTAGAAAAACACTTACCACCTCAATTTATAGATACGTCTTTAGCATGTTCTAATGCGGACTGGAGGCAAAGTTTTGACAGTAAGAGCTGGTCAAAATGTGGCGCACAAAATCTCTTTATCACAGGATTTTATCGAAGTCCGTCCAACGATAACCAGCATCCCATCAGTTTACTTGAAGAAGCAAGATGTTGCAACTCGTCTCCTGCGTACAGCGGTCAGATTGGCCAGTGTGAAAAAGTTAACTTCACCAGTTCTTTTAAACAGTAAGTATTTTTATATCATTTCATAATAATATGATTTTTGCGCAGTGTGCTGCAGGCAGTAAAAAAGTCGCATTACGCTATGCATGTGTTGCGTGCGTGTTCGGGTGTTTTTAAAGATTGTCGAAGTCGCTCTCATGATATATGAAAAAGTAGGCAAAAGCAGCGAATTATAAAGATCGCAGGTGAGCGACGTGTATAATCAGAATCAATAAAACTTTCTCAGAAGTCCGTTTTACACTATACGCTTAATTAATTACAAATTTCACCCGTGCTCTGTCTTATATTGGTAGCCTCATTAAATCTAGTTCACTGTAGTGCAGTTATAGATTTGTGTCATCGCCAACTTTTTTGGTCAACGAGTCCGCAATACCTCCAAGTTGATATTCAGGTCTCTGGCCTAATATTTTCCTTCAAAATGCCTCAAATTGTATCCCAATTTGTATATTTGGGACACCGTGTATATAATTACCCGTTAATGTATTCTATATAGAAATGACACATGGAATCGTTGTCCAAAGGGATACTTTCTGAACGGGTTAAAACGCAGCAATGATACAAGATTACATGCCATCACAGGAGCTCATTGCTGCAAACCAAACACTCATCCTGACAAGTATGGATTCTGTTATGATGAAGATGTTGGAACATCGTTTGATCAAGAAGGATGGTCAAACTGTTCCAAGGCTGGTTATTACATCACTGGTCTTTATCGTGGATCTGGTAAATGGCTGAACAGCATCGATCAATTTCGATGCTGTCAAAACGCTTAGAAATATCGATAGATTGCTTTGCTCTCTCATGTCAATTGATAACTTTTTAAATGTTATTATAATATAAGTGTGGTATAACGAGCAATTTCGGAGAATTTTATTTTTGACCTACTTGATTGCTGTATATATTATAAAAGAATTAAAAAAAAGCTCGTCTCCTGCTTTTATGCTGTAATAATAATATACTTAGGGGAATGTTGGAAGAACACCCAAGAAGCTTGTAAAACAATCGGCTACGCCTAGGCATTATATACGAAGTAGAATACTTTTTCATCCTTAAAACTAAAAATTTTTTTTGTGGTTCAAGTTCAATCAGTTTATTTAGGAATTTAGATTCAAACTATAAAATAAATAATGGCATTCTTTTCTGAAGATGTAGAACAGAAAGTTTTAGCAAAAAAGATATTAAGCAGCTGATTCGATGTTAGACAAATTTAATTAATGTTGTGAAATGTACGACTTCAAGAATCTGTAATCTGTTGTGACGCTTAATTGTGCTATAGTGAATAATATGGTACACTCAAAGGACAAATTTATTTACATTTACAATCTATTTACGTCTGCGTATAACATAATAATATTCAGGTGGGGAAGGTTTGTGTAGTCTGTTTATATTTCTTACATCTCGAATTCCGTATATTCGAAAGTTTCTGCAGAGTTTTGACGGATTGAAGGAAATGTATTTTGTAGCTACTTCATGTATAGTCATGGTGTTGGTTTTAATTCTTTATACCTATTGTATGGACGTTGACTCGATAGTTCTACAATATATTATTACTTAAATTGTAGTGATACACAATTCAGTTCCACTGCGATGAACTGCGATGTATTTCAATAAACATTCAATCAATGCATTATTTATCTTCCTATGTCTATAATTATACAGCGTCGACTTTTCTATGGTATGCTAAATGCAAACATGTTTTCCATTCAGCCATTCTGCAGTTGCTTACGAAAATAGAATGTGAATTTTGACAATCTGCATTGTTTTTCGTCGTATGCACGGTAAAATTTAATCACCATGAACGGTGAAGTGGCAGTAGTTTAGATCGCGAATGGATTATCACGCCTTACATGTATAATATGGTGACTATATATAAATCATTGAGATATTGCCGTTTTCGAAAAATATAGCCATTGAAGCATTGCCATTCCGTTTTTCGTCTTCTTTGCTTTATTTGTTTTAAGATTCTCAGGGGTTCCCGCAAATATATAGCCCGGAACGTTCCAAGAAGAGTAAAAAAAGACCGCAAATATAAAGTGGTTATGGGTATGACCGATACACCTACAAGTAGGCAACAACTAAAGTTTGCAAACAAAGTCGACTCGACAACATCCCGAAAGAGATAATGATATGGATTATATTATATATAAGGAGTAATTGAACTTATGCATAATGACGTAACAAGCCGTGGCACCGGCAGAGAATTCTGGTCACGGCTGGAAATTTTGAAGTTTTAAATTTTTCGCCTTGACTACATGAATGGAATATTCGTCATTATCATTGAGATGAAAAAATCGGTTTATTCAACTATATTGTCATTATGCATAAGTATATTAAGCGTCCGTGCATGCCTTCTAAAATAATTGATAAATAATCAATATTCCAACGCAAACAGGAAAATAAATGTAAAGTGCTTACAGCTTTGTGAATGTCATTGATGATCATCAATCACGATATGGAGCGAAATTAAGTAGGCCTCAATTCAGGGAAAAAACACTTCGTAAATTATTAAGGTCATGCACGCAAGTTTTGGTAATATATATAAAAATGACAAGTTAAAGTTTGTGAGTTAAAAGCATCTGCGTTGCAATGAGGGTCTTTCAAAAATTTGCTGTTTCGTTCATCGTTTTCGTGCTGAGCGAGTGCTCAAACGAAGCTGTCTTTCGAAAAAATAAGCAAAAATACTTGGCGAATCATGTCATCGAAACAAAACAAGCAAAGTCCGAGTTTGAATGTGGTTTGCTTTGTGCTCGTCGTTCATTGTGTACGTCAGCCAACTACAAAACTTCTGGTGAAGATAAAGGACGATGTGAACTAAACAATAAGACAATGCAAGCAACAACCAATGATGATGAACAAACAAATCATGAATTCAACCATCTTGTGATAATTAAACGAGTGAGTAAATACAATGATTACTTGGAGTTTGAAAAGTTATTACAAGCTATTTTTACTTTTTCAATCGACTGCGAAGTTTCAGCGCCCTCTTATATAAAAAGAGCTTTAAATTTTTACTTCAGTTCCCGCTACGGCTACGAAATTGGTCAATTTAGCGTGATTTTCGTGTTATATCCTACTGCCGACATAGACTCGTAGCCGTGGCTAATCCATGACAACGGCATTTTGATATTATATAGCCTATATCCCGGTTCTCACTATATACATGATTTAAACAGCAGCTCTCGGAGTTGCCATTTTTCTATTTTATGAAAAAGAGTTCGAAAGAACTATTTTTATGCTCATGGCGCTTCTATTTTGTGCATTCGTGAAACGGTATTACTGACGATATATATACAGGGTATTTTTGTATTTTTTTTTCTGAAATACTTGATAGTGCATACATATTATGTTTATACATAGGGAGATTTAGCACGAAGACGTGAAAGTCAAAAACGATGTGAAAATGGCGAATAAATGCCGTGGCATTTATTCGCTATTTCTACAAATATTTTCCCGTTCACATCCTCATGCTAAGCCTGCATAATATATAATTATAGTGGGCGCGTTTGAGATAAACACGGCGCCTGTAAATATACTACAGACGGATGCCCAGGCGAGATTGCGTATGCATGCATGCAACGTGCGTTTCCCTTCACAACGATAGTCACTCAGCAGCAACAGGAGCTGTAGTCAGATGTAAAGCAGCTTTCTAAAAAGCAGCGACCGCTTTTGCAGGTTCTCACAATTGACAAACCGCTTGTCGAGATGGGTGTACTTTGTTAAACTGCATAACAAAACAATAGAATGACAACATCTTACTAACTTCCAACAGCGGTATATAGCAATGACTTCAGAATAAAAGTCAAAATTTCAGAAGTATGCGTTTTTAATAGCATAGCATTCGGAGTCCTTTCGTTCTGTGTGTCAAAGTACTTGATATTAGGCTATATTACTACGAATTTTTTTACTTTCTCAATTCTCAGTAATTACGTTTCCCATGAAGTTTTCAAATACCTTTAATTTAAAATTATGCTGGAGTGATTTATCATGACTATAATAACGTCGCGTGGACTACAACTGATCCCTGGCAGACAATTAATCAAACCAGAATGAAATTCAAGAGAAAAGTACTCGTATTATCTTTCGATGTAGAAACTTTAGAATACGCCTTTTCGATTGTTAAACACCTTTTTAAGATTTAGTCATCTGCAAGACGGTTGTTGGTATATTTGAATTTTCAAACTTTTCGACTTGTGCTTTGATGGATCAGTTCTATATTATGTTTTCTTTCACACCAGAGGGGTCGTCGATATTTCAAGCTTAAAATTAAAATGAAATAATAAAACTCGCATGAATTTTAATAATATCGTAAATTCGGTCGTCTAATATCTTTATTTAACCGAAATATATTGCAAAACGTGACTGCTGAGTCCATTCTTTAGGGATTATGTTGGCCGCATCAGCGGTTTTGAGCAGGGTTCATATCTACGCTGCGAAATTTTCCTTTCAAAAGTAAGAAGTCGACCGAAGCAGATCCACACAAAACATAATTAAATAACGAAGGAAGAAAAAACGAAAAATTCCATCGTTTGAAAAACTGTGTTTAAAATAACATTGAAGCTAAAAGGTGAAAATTTGAATCACCTCGTTTCTCTGAACGAAAGAGCTGCCGCAATAATACTTAATCTTGCGTCTGACTTTGTTTTTGTAAACGAAGAAATCCAAATTGTAAGATATTTGAAATAATTTACCATTGATAAGCCGTAGCTATAGCGGAGCCATCCTGACAATTTGGAGCGGCTGCGCTTATATTGCGGTGTTCATTGAAAAATTGACTGGGTTTTTTGTTACGCTGCAAGCATCATTTAAACCACTTGATCATACAAAATGGTATTAAATTTCATACAATGGTTCTCATTAATTATACCTCACAATAGTTGAATGTGTGGCAAGTGCCTCTATAAAAAACCAGAATTAGGGCCTCTTGAAAAGTGATATACATTATATGAGCTATATATGTGTTTATATATAACGAATTTAAATAACGTCGATAATCGTATCCTTTGCATTTGTTTTTCAGAACCCTACCACATCAAGCTGTCCGACACCAGAGGAATCATTCACAAGTAAGAGTTATACTACGAATGTATTACAATCACCTGCATCCACATTACTAGAAACAAACAGTTCAACACCCCAACTATCAAGTAAGTGAACAATGTCGTCATTTTCTCAGTGCAGAGCGTCATTGCACTATTACGTATAATTTAGTTCACGGTGTATAATAATTTAGACACATGTATTATATAAAAACTGCTAGGTTTCGCATCATTTTTGCATTTTATATCTCTTTAATTATTGAAGGCTCTCATGTCTCCTTGAGAGAACGTTAATACAGATTTCCAACCGCATAAAAGCAAACCTTACAAAGTTTAGAAAAACACTTCCCACTTCAATTTATAGATACGTCTTTAACATGTTCTAATGCGGACTGGAGGCAAAGTTTTGACAGCTTTGGTTATTCGAAATGTGGACAGAATCTCTTTATCACGGGATTTTATCGAAGTCCACCCAACGATAGCAAGCATCCCATCAGTTTACTTGAAGGAGCAAGATGTTGCATGTCGTCTCTTGCGTACAGCGGTCAGAATAGTCAGTGTAACAAGACGGGCTTCAAAGGTTCTTTCAAAAAGTAAGTATTTTATATCATTTCATGATAATATGATAGTATGCAAAAGCAGTGAATAATAAAGATAGCAGATGAGCGACGTGTATAATCAGAATCAATAAAACTTTCTCAGAAGTCCGCTTTACACTACGCTTAATTAATTACAAATTTCACCCGTGCTCCGTCATAAATATATATGATTGGTAGCCTCGTTAAATCTAGTTCAGTGTGGTGCAGTTATACAGGGTGTCCCAAAAAAACCGAAAACTATTGAAATCACCCATAACAATGGCATTGTTAGAGTTTGAATGCCTAAGCACTCTGTTGGGCCCACAAGTGTATAAATCGGGGTTGCCATAAGCATTTTTATGCATGCATATGATGCAGTCAAATTTGCTTGTTCGCAAAAATGATATTTATTAACAATACTTACAATTTACAAATGTGAATAACATTATTTAAATGTGCATCTCAAGGACCATGACCTTCGACATGTCCCCTTTCTCTAGCAACACAAAGCATTTAGCATTTTATAAGTTGCATTAAATCCCCACGGGCTGAAATTCGTGAACACGGCATTCAAATTTTAACAATGAGTGATTTCAATAGTTTTCGTTTTTTTTGGGACACCCTGTAGATGTGTGTCATCGCCAACTATTTTGGTCAATGAGTCCGCAATACGTTGCTGCATGTTTGATAGCGGATGCACCAATGAACACAAACCACCTTGCAAAACCCAGTAATATATATAAACTGATATTTATAGAAATAAAAATGATATAAGATTAATAAAATAAGGTTTCCTTCTTACGTTTGCCAAAATGAGATCGTTTCGCTATCATGAAGATCTATTGCCTTGTTTAAAAATCAGATATAGATTTAATTTCTTTTTCTTTTTGAGGATATGGTTCTCTAGCGTAGGCCCTAGTATATACTAGAAACACTAGATCCACAAGTTAATTCATTTTCATCTCAGATATATGGGAAATCTACTGACGATTAGCCCTTTGCCAAAATCGGGTACAAAATTATAACTACTTCTTGTAATATACCCAAAATATGAAGAAGAGATTCGAAAAATAACCCTTTCCTTAATTTAGGTAAAATCCGTTCATTTTCGCCTTATTTACTAGTAACGTGGTAAGCTGGCAATTTTCAAGCTAATTTACATATGCAAATTCGCTGGCATACGAATAAAATAGTTGGCAATGTCAAACAAGCTTTTCTCTCACCTCCAAGTTGATATTCAGGTCTCTGGCCTAATATTTGCCCCAAATTGTATCCCACATGGTCTCCAAAAAATCGAAAATCATTGAAATTAGCGATAACAATGTCATAGCTGGAGTTTGAATGCCTAAGCATCCTGTTTGGACCAACAAGTGTATAAATGTTTAACAAAAACATTTTTATGCATGATGACAGGAAAATTCGTTTATAACCACAAATGATTTTTATTGCCAATACTGGCAATACACTTTAGAAATATGGATAAAATACTTAAATGTACAACTCATGGCCTTCGACATAATTATGTCATTCGTCTCTAGCAAATATCAACTTTTTGTGGGCCTATTTAACATTTGCGTTAATGCTCACGAGAAAAAAATAGCGAACAAGTAATTCAAATTTAACAATAATATATTTTATATATACGACGGTGATTTCGATAGTTTTGGGTTTTTTTGGGACACCCTGCATATAATTACCCGTTAATGTATTCTATATAGAAATGACACATGGAATCGTTGTCCAAAGGGGTACTTTCTGAAAGGGTTAAGACGCAATAATGACACAAGTTTACGTGCCATCACAGGAGCTTTTTGCTGCAAACCTGAAAATCATCCTGACAAGTATGGACCATGTTATGATAAAGATGTTGGATCATCCTTTGATCGAGAAGGATGGTCAAACTGCTCCAAGGCTGGTTATTATATCACTGGTCTTTATCGTGGATCTGGTCAGTGGCTGAACGACATCGATAAATTTCGATGCTGTCAAAACGCTTAAAAATATCGATAGATTGCTTCGCTCTTTCGTGTCAATTGATAAATTTTTAAATGTTATTATAATATAAGTATGGCATAACGAGTAATTTCAGAGTATTTCCTTTTGATCTGATTAATTGTTGTATATGTTAGAAATGAATAAAAAAAGCACGTCTCCTGCTTTTATGGTGTAATAATAATATAATTGAGGTTCACGGAGTCTGTTTGTATTTCTTACATCTCGAATTCCGTATATACGAAAGTTTCTGCAAAGTTTTGAAGGATTGAAGGAGATGTATTGTAGCTACTTCACTTATAGTCAGTTTTTCCGTATTCGTTTTCATTCCTGATACCTATCGTATGGACGCTAACTCAATTGTCCTACAATATGTTATTACTTAAATTGCATGTAATGATACACAATTCAGTTTCCACTGCGATGTATTTCATTACCACTTAATGAATGCATTGTGTATCTTTCTTTATCTAGTTATATTCCTATATCTATAGCTATCATAGTATCCTATAAATGTGGTATTGCATCAAAGGTTGTAAATGGCAGATAATTCAACTGTAAGATCGCGGGATAAAAATTATACGATTTACTATAATATTTGACTCAATATTTGTGTAACGGTTGGAAGTTTTGTTACTGAATCATTTCTCAATATAAACCTTATTCCGTCTTGATGAATGCGTATATACTTTTTGTTAACAGTTTTGAAGAAGAAATGGAAAATGACATAGTTATATATTAGCATCATGACATTAACGCAACGGTTAAAAAAAAAGAGATTTCATTTTCAATTTGTGATGTAATTTGTCTAGCTCATGACTGTCTCGTAGCAAACATAGCTTAGCAAAAAAAGAAGAAAAGAGAAATATTGCATTCTTCTCTATATGCATGCACCGTCTTGCACGTAGCACCTGCTTTTACAACTTTTATTAGGTTATATATTAGAATCAAGACATTAACGCAGCGGATGAAAGAAAGATATCACTCTCAATTCGTCACGTAATTTGTCTCAGTCAAGACTGGGTCATAACAAGCACAAGGTCTGCACCCGGCTTTACGACTCAATTTCCCTTGTGCAGGTGGGAATTTTATTATCAAAAGGGTGCGTCTCTTGTTTCTCGAAACGTAGAGCGCAAATAGCAAGTGATCGTTGGCAAATTAAGACAGAGAACTTATAACATTGAAACCTATGATACCTAGCATGGCAGAGACTCAGCAGGCAAAAATAGCGCGTTTACCGTCCGTATTTTTGAGATTCAATCTTCTGTTGTTGATATTTTTGAATCTTCAAACTTTCGGTGATGCGCTAGACTTTTGTTTTGATGGATCGGAGGAAGGTAAGGTTTGGGACGTGTTTTCAAATCTGTTTAACGAACTCATATTAGGATATTCGTAAAAATCACCTTCAAATGGCCCAGTAGCTAACTCTAACAATGTGTCTATATTCGCAATTTTATAAGGTTATCGTTTAAACGTTAAACCTATCGAAATTATTCACGCCATGTCGGGAGCAGAATGCGCCTTAAAATGTGCGGAAAAGAATGGATGTAGATCTGTTAACTTCAAAAAACTGAGAAGTTGTGAAGAAATGGAGAACTGTGAGTTACTCACAGAGGTAGATTCAGAAATATCCCCTGAACAGCTCAAAGAGGATGAGGAATATGATTATTATATACTGCTCGATTGTAACGGGGGGGTATGTACGTTTTTGTTATATTTTCATTTACAACAAAAGCCACGCGATATTTTACGCTAGCAAATGTCAGTTAAAATTTATAGAACATATTCGTATGTACGGATATTGTGATCAAAAAAATTATATAATAAATTTAACTTTAAAGATAACACGGCAATAAGGTCCAATTTTCAATTTTTCTCGCTGCATTAATTTACACAAGTATAAATAAAATTCGTAGCAAAAAGATTGATATAGCGATTGAATTATTAGTAAGAAGAAAGTATATTAAAGAAATGTTTTAGCGATTAAAAATGGTTGTAAAAGCTTGTATATATGTCATGTATATTTCATTTAAAATATTCATCATGTTAATTTTCACAATTTCCTAATTACACAATGTTATGAAAGTACTTAAGTAGTTCATTTTACTTTTTAAATGAGTGTCTGGGAGAAAGATTAATTTTTCTAATCTTCTTTACTGTAATTTTAAATGTTGTTTCACGAATATGTTGATTAATGATTTCACAGAGAGCCTTACAATCATCGTCTTTAGTTTAGCTAAAAATTCAGAACTTTGAGGCAGCAAAGTGGCGTCACTCATCTTTGGCAAAGACAGAGAACATATATGTACATATTTGTATGTACATGTACATATATGTACATGATTTATGCACAGAATGATAGAATAAAAATCGTTCTCTACTCTGTAAATCAATCTTGATTGGCGTACGATTTTTTTCTTGTGAAATACATTCTTTCATTCCAGAGTTTACAGTTTCGCTATAGTTCAAGTGGTGGCGAGTCCGGTATAGCTAAAAAACCAGATCAACAGATTTCGACCCTAAAAGCCCGACGCAAAGTGAGATATATTTAAGAATTAGTCTCCTCAGGCGAGGTAATCAGAAGCATATAGGCCTGGAAACAACAATAAAAAGCTATAGTCATGCACCGGCCAGTGACTCTCACTTCAGAGACCGTGAATTTTGACCCATCAGAATGCAGGAAAATCAATCGTCACCACGAAATAAAACTTATGCTAAAAGCTGATATTAATATATGCTATACAGCAGTGTCATTTTTCCTGTATAGGCCAATAATCTTTGGCAAAGACATAGAACCTGTATTATTACATGATTTGCACACAGAATGATAGAGTAAAACTCGGCGTTCTTTACTCTGTAAATCAATCTTGATTAGACCTGCGATTTTTTCCTTATAAATAAAAAGTGAAATACATGCTTTCATTCCAGAGTTTACATTTCGCTATAGTTCAAGTGGTGGCAAGCGCTGGCATAGCTTAAAAACCAGATCAACAGATTTCGACCCTAAGGGCCAGATGCAAAGTGAGATATATTTAACAATTAGTCTCCTCAGGCGAGGCATCACAAGCATAGGCCGGGAAACAACAATAAAAAGCTATATAGTCACCGGCCAGTGACTCTCACTTCAGAGACCGTGAATTTTGACCAATCAGAATGCAGGAAAATCAAAAGTCACTACGAAATAAAACTTATACTAAAAGCTAATAAATTAATATATGCTATACATGCAGCAGTGGCGTAGCCAGCCTGACAATTTAGTTATGCTGTAGCTATCACGATAATATTTTTGTGTTCATTGATTGCAAAAACAATTAAATTCTATAGAATCTCAGAATTTCAATTCTAAACCAAATTGTCAGGCTGGCTACGCATACATATATAAATATATGGTAACATTTCAAGTTGATTTTCGTTTCTTTTGTGCGTTTTCCCTAGAATCCGTTAGATCCAACTCCATCGAGCTTCCCAACAGTACAACAATTAACAAGTAAGTCTTAAGAAGCTCACAATATCATCACTGCACATTGATGACTTTTCAACGGAGTCGAACGACATTATATTAAAACATCTACAAACTATCTCTCCGTCTATCATGATTTTGGCTGCAACTGCAATGTCAGAAAACAGAAGTTTAGGCTCAGCACCTCAACCAACAAGTCTTACAAGATCATCAATATAATATAACATTACAAATTAGTTATTAACTCATCGAAATGGGAATTAAAACATTAAAAAAAGTTTGTTTCCTACTTACTAATCGTAATTTTATAGATGAATCCAGAATGACAGTAACACCCAGTTCAACACCTCAACAAACAAGTAAATCTTACGAGATATCAATATCGTATACTACCACTAGTTAGTTGACAACTTATCCCAGGGTGCATAAAGTCACTCTATTTATTATTCCATCACGTACGAATTCCTGCCAAAATTCTGGTAATTGCTGTAATCAGTAAATAATTTAAGGCAATATGTACTCAGGACGCTACCAATTTTCCCCTAGTAATCCCCCCTCACCACCTTGAAGGCTTTCATTGGTACCTATGCTACCCATGCAATAAAACTGATTCATGGCTGCCTGAAAGCTAACAAAAACACTTCACACCTCAATTTATAGATACGTCTTTAACATGTTCTAATGTGGACTGGAGGCAAAGTTTTGATAGAAATGGTTATTCGAAATGTGGACAAAATCTCTTTATCACGGGATTTTATCGAAGTCTGTCCAACGATAACAAGCATCCCATCAGTTTACTTGAAGAAGCAAGATGTTGCATGTCGTCTCCTGCGTACAGCGGTCAGAATAGTCAGTGTAACATGACGAGCTTCAAAGGTTCTTTCAAAAAGTAAGTATTTTATATCATTTCATGATAACATAATTTTCGCGCAGTGTGCTGCAGGCGGTAAAAAAGTCGTATAACGCTATCCATGTGTTGTGTGCGTATTTAGGTGTTTTTAAAGATTGTCGAAGTCGTTCTCATGATATATGAGAAATTTGGCAAAAGCAGCGAATAATAAAGATAGCAGATGAGCGACGTGTATAATCAGAATCATTATAATATAAGTATGATATAACGAGCAATTTGATTGGCTACCGCGCGTGCATTGTGAGGCCATAATGCACGCTTCTGGCTTTGAAGTCTTTGTTGCTAAGCAACATCTTAAATAACATGTAAGGAGAATTTCATTATTCATCAAATAAATAAACTTTGTTGTTGCCCTATAATTTCTTCTTATATTATAAAAGAATTAAAAAAGCTCGTCGCATGCCTTTATGGTGTAATAATGCACTCGGGGAAATGTTGGAAGAATACTCGAGAAGCTTGTAAAACACTCGGCTACGCCTCGTGTTTTACAAGCTTCACTCCTTTTCTCCCAACATTCCCCCATCGTGCATTATTACACCATAAAGGCACGCGACTCGTCTTTTAATTCTTAAATAAAACTTTCGCAGAAGTCCGCTTTACACTACGCTTAATTAATTACAAATTTCATCAGTACTAGCTGCGTCTTATATTGGTAGCCTCACTAAGCGTAGTTCAGTGTATAGTGCAGTTATTCATGACTAAAACAAGCATTTGTGCCAACTATTTTCGTTAATGAATCGCTGTTCGATAGCGGATGCACCAATGAACACAAACCACCTTGCAAAACCTTGCAATATAAACTTATATTTGTAAAAATAATAGGGGTAAAATTAATAAAATAAGATTTCCTTTTTACGTTTGCCAAAATGGGATCTTTTTGCTATCATGAAGATCTATCGTCTTGTTTAAAAACCAGATATAGAGCAGTTCTATCACCTCCAAGTTGATATCGTGTCTCTGGCCGAATATTTTCCTTCAAAATGCCTCAAATTGTATCCCACATGGTTTCCGAAAAAGTCCCAAACCATTGAAATCAGCCATAACAATGTAATAGGTGGAGTTTGAATGCCTAAGCATCCTTTTGGGACCCACAAGTGTATAAATGCTTGACATAAGCATTTTTATGCATGGTGACAGTAAAATTTGTTTGTATTTTCTAATTATTTTTACTGCCAATACCGGCAATACACTTTAGA